ACGGCAACTTGAGGCACTGGTATGTGGCTCGAAATTTTGTGTTCCACCAACAAAAATTGAAGGCCTACAAACTCAGGCGCAACTCGAGATAGTTTACAGACAACTTACTGGCCTCACGTCAACTTTCAAAGAAAATGGATAGTGGATAAAGGTAAAACTTGTTGATCGCGAATGTCAGTACCGTATCATCAGTTCCAGACAAAAGTCACCGCTTGAATCTAAAACTTAAAGAAACTCAGATCGGAAAGAAAAGTAGTTATACTCCACTCAGATAAGCCGTCAGGTGTTGTACTGCTGGATAATGCTGCTGGATATGCTGGATTATGTAAATAAGATGATGACGATAGTTAATGATCGCACCAAATTCGAACTAGACACGACTTCTGAGCACCCGGCTGAACTGAAGAGGAGAATAAATACAGAGTTACAAACGTTGCTAGAGGGAAGCTTTATTAGGGCTGAGACCGCTAACTTCTTGATACCCAGGGGCATGTAAACACCACAGCTCTATGGGTTGCCAAAATTATACAAGGAAGGTGTGCCACTGAGACTGATTTTATCTATGAACAATTCGTCACAACGTAAGTTGACTAAACGGTTGGTCAAGTTATTGAGGCAGACAGGAAGTCAGCGTTTAAATACACTATAAAGGACACATTCGAATTAGTGCAGCTACTGAACTGCATAGAGCTAAAGGGCGAGGTTATGTCCAGCATTGACATTGTCTGACTGTTCACAAATATGCCACTAAAAGAGACCATCCAAATTATAAATAACTGTGTGACTGCTAGTCAGTTGGAAATAGGCCTTCCGGTCTCTGAATTGGAAAGACTGATACTCCTGTGCACATCGAATTTACCATTTTATTTTCAACAGCTAGGTTATCGACTGGTGGATGGTGTCACAATGGGCAGACCGCTGGGACCATTGCTAGCGGATATTTTCTTTGCTCACCTAGAAAATCAAGCTAGGAACGAAATTGATCAAGCCGTGTCTCCTCTCAGGTACAAGGACATGCTGCTCATTCGTAACAATGAGGCCCGTCTCACTCAAGTGAGTAAAAATTAAGCTGACCGCACCAAAACTTCATGTGACAACGGAACCTGAGCAGAACTATCGTTTGCCGAACTTGGACATATTGATAGAACGCAGGAATGCTGAATCGATACGTAGATCTGCCCAGCACATGGTAGGGTCAGTATTTGTACTTTCTTAGCTTTGTCACAAAACGCTACAATCAGTGCCTAGTGTGGACTCTGTTAGAGCGAGGTAAATATGCACACTTGACACGCACGAACAGGAGGTGCAATTGGCACCAACACCTTGACAGAAAACGAGTATTCGCCTGCTTTCGTCCCCCAATTTAACAACCAGATAGCAGAAGAGAAAGTACCCACCGTACCGAAATGGAAAGTAATGCTGCGACTACCAGTTAAGGGAGACGACGTAAACTAAGTATTTCAACGAAGTTTGGAATCCGCAGTTGCGCGTGTGTATCCCGCGGCGCAACCGGTATTACTGTACAAAACGACTCGCACCCCTGCTTCTTCGGTTATGCCACCAGTACCTCTATCCAACCTTTCACAAGTCCTTTACCAATTTACATGTAGTTGCAAGGCCGACTATGTGCGTATGACAGAGCGCCAGCTGCAGGTGAGAAGTGCGGAGCATTTGCCGAAGTGGGTGAGACGACTCGTCTCGCAAACGATCTCAACCATTGTCCCAAGTGCTAAACATTTGCCACACATAGTTACAGCCTCGTCAACCGCCGGACACCTGCTGACAAACAGACACGACTTTGACCCGCGCGCATATTTCGGATGAACTCCGCGTTTTACGATATAGCGACGCGGTGGCTATCAAAAAGCTGAGCCCCACCCCATGTGTACAAAGGACGCGTTCGTCACATTGGCTCTACCGTGGTAGTAGGTCAGTTAACAAGCGAACAAGTGTGTGAGTGATTGTCTATACGTGTATCGTTATACGCCCTTTGGTGCATATTCTATCCTAACTATACCAGATGTTCTTGATGCGATGTACATATGTTTGCACGTCATCTGGGGAGACACAGGTTACGGGTGATATTCTCAATGCTCGATTGGCGTAGAGCACGAGTGCCACGCATTGTCTCTGACGGTGGGAGGACACCTCCGGGTGTTCAATGGTTTGCTACTGCCCGCCTCAAGCCAGGCAGCCCCTGGTCAAATTGGTGCAAACCCGCCAAAAACCCACCTGCGTCTGGCCGTGGTCGCAGGTGCGTATCCAATTACGGTCGCAAAACATATGATAACTGTTCCAGAACCTCAAAGGCTGCGTGTGACGGCCGTCAAGCAGATCCCCATCTGTCTCTGCAATCACATTCCCGAGCTGGATCTGCTCTCCACTGCCTTGTGGGTCAGGCTATTGAGCCAAAGGCTCCGGGTGGAGTCCCCTCAAGCAAACCTCCAAACCACCCACTGCCTTGTGGGTCAGGCTATTGAGCCAAAGGCTCCGGGTGGAGTCCCTCAAGCAAACCTCCGAAGGACAACGACCACCTCGCGTGCGATTGCCCACCAATGCAATCGTATGCCTGCGCGCAAAGCACTCAGCATCGGGTGCTGGAACGTGCGCACACTACTGGACCGGAACTCGAGCGAGCGCCCGGAGCGACGCACTGCACTGGTCGCAATGGAGCTGGCGCACTACCACATCGATATTGCGGCGCTCAGTGAAACTCGGCTCGCTGAGCAAGGTAAGTTACATGAAGCAGGTGCTGGCTACACATTCTACTGGGTGGGGAACGCCGCCTCAGCACCACGTGAACATGGGGTCGGATTTGCAATATCCGATCGCCTGAATGGCCAGCTGGTGGGTGAACCAACGGGCATCAGCCGCGCGCTGATGCCTGTTCGCCTACGACTCGGAAGAGGTAAGTTTGCTACTTTCATAAGCACGTACGGTCCGACCATGTGTTATCCTGATGACACGCGTGATCAGTTCTACACTGAGCTATCCTCCGTGATACGGTCTGCACTATGCATTTGATAACATTCATAAACTTCTCCGGATATGCATCATGCAGCGCTATCATACTAACGTTTTTGTTGAAAATCTCAACGGGAAATAGATGCTTCAGGTATAGATAACCATTTTGCATTACGTGTACCTCAGGGATCGTGTGCTTTTTAGCAAAGAATGGGGTGCCTACGTTAAAAACTAGAAATATCTATCACACTAGAATAACAATAAGCGTGATTTTACCTGATAACAGAAGTCCGACGATCAAGCTTCGTTACAAAAATACCGTTTTTTCCTTGGTACCATCAAATCCATGTTCCCTTGTGCCTGCGAAGTGCGTCATATGCAGCCAATTCATTCCTGCATATTCCATGCATTCTTTCTGGGCTAAACCTAAAGTATTACTCGTAAGTAGCTGGCTTTAGTTGTAATTTTAAGGTATTCATCCCAGTAGTTCACAAGCTCCATTACACACCGCCTAGCCCAGAAAAGCACCAGACTCTTTCTGCCCTATTATGGCTCGTCAGAGCTGCTATACAGCTTGCGTACTTTTGGCATGAATACCTTAAAACTAAAATTGACTTGTTGTGATCAAATATTTCTCTTCACCCAGAATTGAGGACTACACAGCTAGATGCGAATTGCTTGCAACTTGTTTTACAAACGCTTTAAAGGAACCAAAATGTAATCGACAATTTAACGAGTCAATAGTGATTTTCGTTCATTAGTAAACCTTTGTCCTCATTTCTTTATCCATCAAACCCACGTTATTCCCGATATTGACCTTGATGGACGAATAGATTCACTCCTATCTGCATCCTACAAAGATTTAGGGAAATGTACGACCTTCCTGGGGTAGTATCTTAGTACCTACAAAAGCAACTTTATAGATGCATGAGTAGTGAATTCCAACAGGTTCTAGGTTCGTAAAATTGTGTTTTCTGGTGTTCACCTATTATTTGCGAACGATAAATTGTTTTTATGCGAACATCGTTTTCAGACTGTCTTCATTAAATCACCTACAGTGATTGATTGTGTCTCTTACGAAGAATGACAGGTGGATTTTGATTAAACCGCTTTTCTCAAGTAGCCAGTTGTACGCGATCACTCAGTGGAATAGTTTGCAGCAGAACCTTATGAACATGCGCTTATCTTTGACGACATAGTGTGTTTCTCAAGTTGTTAACTACTGGACTATACCACAGCACAGATTCGCACATAGTTGTAAACTAGTGCATGACATGAAAGTGAAACCACAATCACAAGAGTTGTGACTCTCTAGCTTTATCTAATGGATAATTCAATACAAAACTACAATGCCCCAACGCTAAATCAGAGGGATGGAACCAACGGAGCACAATTCGCATGTTTCAGCACATTCATCTGATAGTACAGGTAAACATCGCACCGAAACTGATACCATAGGCTGCCTTTGCAAATAAGCACTAGTATCTCCTCACATTTAAATTACTCCAACCATACAAGTTCTATGATTTAGTTGTATACAGCGCTAACCGCGGATCACATATTTGTGCCAAAGCTGCGTGCTTAATATACATATTTAAAATTTTAATTCGCCACCGCAAAATGCAAAAAGGGATTGATTTTCAAATACCTGGAGAAATTGTTATTTCCGTCAAATGTCACACAGGGAAATAATAAAAGCATCCTCCATATGAACACATGGAAGTGGCATTACATCATTGTCTGAAAGATCCGAAATTTTGGGCTAGTTTGTAAAAATATAAATCGTCTGATGCCTTTAATTTGAATCTTTCCGGGTGGGGAGGCAAAAGTAGGGAAATAGAATGGTTGTTCGAATTTTTTCTCAGCTTATTGAGACAACAACATGGATGATCAGTTTGATGCAATGGTAGCCGTCAAAATGGATTTGCCAACCCCCAGATTAATTGAATACTGAAACAAGGCCATACAAGAACCCGTCATTTTCGTAAACAGATTATTTTCGAATGGGAACTGACTGCTACTGTTCGGCACATTCATTATTCAGTGTCGATATGAAGATCATCCAAACTTCTTTGCAGTGCTTGTTGCAAATAACCGACCAAGAAGCTACGTCTGCGCTCAGCATGTTTCTCAGATACTGGTCTTTTGGCATCTTTCGATAAGGAAAACTGTAGAGCCTTACTTTTGTTCCCAGTTGTTGGGATATCATTCTTTACTTTATTCTTTAAATCACCACGGTCCTCATCATCATATTCTGTTAGATTTTCCTCGCTACTGTCAACAACAGGTCCCAACGAGGGCTCTAAAATTTTGGGATCAACGCCAGAGTCACCGGTACTGCTGCTACGGAATATATAGTTGTCTTGCACTATCACCCTTAACTTAGAAGACTTGGGAAGAACGCCATGTTTATCGCCCTTTGCCACTCCAACGCTTTTACTTCCCTGTTCGATGTCCGAGGATTGTCTGTCTTGTGAGACCGACGATGACTTGCTTCTATTGCTCTTGCTAACTTTTACATGTTTATGTACTTCACTGTTATCTCTGGATGTACGTGCCGAAGGTAATGCATTTTGTTTATTACCTATACGTTGCATGCGTTTAGCCTTACCAGCGTTTTGCATATTTAATTTGACCTGAATGAATTTGTGACCAGAGGGTTTTTCTTTTTGAATGTGTCGCGTGTCTTGAAAAAGATATTCCATGGAGTGCACATTTGCTGATAATGGGGATGTACAAAGTTCAGGCTGCCATCGTTCCTCGTGATCCAAGGTTTCTTCATGGTTATCAACCAAACGAGAGCAACTACGCTGTAATTGTGGATGCGCTTGGTAAGTACACGCTTGTTGCCACCAAAACGGAGGTTCTCGTCTGTATGTTTGTGCGTTTTCTTCGTAATTCGAAAGTCTTCGTAGCACCCCATGAGATGGAACCATGCTCCGGTGAAATCCATCACCATGTTCTTGCTTATCTATTTTTGGTAGGCAATCCGGTGATTCGAGGAACTCATTCTCTGGAACTTGGTGATCACAATTCTTGTTGGAAATCTCCCGGGAATCAAGGACCGACGTAAAGCAGTCGGCTTCATCCATCAAAGATGTGCGCCGCGATGCAGGGCTAAAGACCAGGTCCGGTGGAATTAATCTCTCAGCATTTTGCGCCTGTTGGACATTAGAAAATGGGCCATTTGTGACCGAGAGGCGAACAGGTGTGGGCTGCGGGGTTACAGCAATTGGGTCAGCTGGTTTGTTATGAAAATCTGGCAGTAACCTTCCACTTAATGAAGAACCCCTCCTGGAAGATTCTAAGCTACAATGACTGGGAACTGCTAAGTAACTGTTTCGTTGCTCATCCATGCTTCCGTAACTCATATTCAGCTCAAAACTTCGCACTTTTCTTTCCTCAAGCTTTGAAACTTGCGGTTGTGGAAATGGTGACAAATGCGTGGGGGAGAGGAGACTCCCTCGAGTATGCATTGCACAACTATACGCAGTTGACATTGTTTTCTGAGAAGGGTGGTAAATAGAGGAAGTGGCCGACGAATGTTTGCATTTGCTTCTTTGCATAAGTTCAGCTCCGTGTTTATGCGACGTCTCTGTAAGTTGGTCAAATAAACACCTACTTTGTAGGGATTCTGGGGTTATGTTGGACGAATTGTGTGGGGAGTTTAAGGAGAGCTCCGGTCCGCTAAAGAAGCCACCCCAAGGCGGAGGAAACGATCCCGTGGATTGTTGCACTGAACGACTATACATTACAGGCGAACAAGGACGGAAGAATGTCTTGGAAGCATTTGGAGACTTGGAAATTGACCTGCAGTTGTAACTGGGTGCATTCACTAATTCCATACTATGCGCCTGTCTGTCGTTACAAGCATCCAGTGGTTTCAAATGGTGTGAATATCGCCGTTGAAACAATGCGCTAGATGTCGGTGTGGAAAGAAGCAAACCATTGCGACTGAGCTCTGAGGCATTGTGCTCTAAACTGGCTTCAATTTGGTTATCCTGATGTTGGATACCACCTTCATTATCCAGTCGAGTAAACCAGCGGTCACAGCAGCGTTGCCAGTAAATATCACTTGACCATCGATGTGACTCGATTGATTTTGGCACAATGAATAATCTAGTATTATCCGCTTCCCCTTTCGGTGTTAGTGCGAAATGAGATGATTCATTTTCTGTGGCCTTGTCGGCTCGAGTAGGATACCGAGGAGTACTCATACTACTTAATTGCTTTATGCCCATTAAATCTTCTCTACAACCAACATTATCGCCTCCCCAATTGTTGTTTGCTAGATAATTTAGCTTTGAATGAACGTCATGTTTGGTTTGCTCTTGTCCCTGATAAGAGTGGGCCCTTACTTTTCTTCCTGGTGGTCGTAACAATGGCTCCTTCGGAGACGAAATTGTTTGGCTAGGCAGCTGATTTTCACTTATAGCGTGATTTCTCACACTAACCATCTTACTGGTAGAACCTGTCGGTGATTCAAAAGAAGCGGTGAACTGCCTTATACCTTTAAGCTGGGATGCAGAGCAAAAAGCATGCTTTGACTGTTTGCACATTTTCCTGTCATCTGGTAAACGGGTCTTCAAGTGCTGTCTACAGATATTGAATTCAGATGAATCAGCATGGTCGGCGTTGATTTCCTTTGACAAGAAAGCGGAGTTATGCAATCCACGCATGACAGGATAAACAGACGGGATATATGTGTGACTATCAGGTTTGACCAGAGGAGTTGAGCTGTATGCATAAGACAAATATGTGTCATTTTGCTCGAAGGAACTGACTTTTGTTGGCCCGTCGAAACTATGCGGCTGTGCGACTTTTATCGGAGTGTCCATTGTTTCATAAGCAGTGTCCGCACTACTCAAGTGTGGCACGTTATTACGCCGTCTGGAAGAAATAGAGACAAAGGTTCGCACATAAATGTACATAAAACGGACTTTACCAGCTTGATAACACCAGATAAAGAATACGGAAAATCTAAGTTAGAAAAAATTAGTCATGCCAAAAGGATAAAACTGCTAAAGGCAAGAGAATGCATACATGAGTATAACTACTGATCATCTTACAGGAGCCCACGTTCAGGTTCACCAAAGCTACCACATCTCTTTATTCTCTTACCAAGGCGATTGCTTTTAAACGTTGGATAGGCTTCCAGCATTTTAATCTACGCCCTAGCAATTGTAAATAGTGCAATGTCACAGTCGCTTGGGTGAAAACTGAGTGACCGTCAGGCTCACAAAGTTACCAAGGATTGTTGAGCTGCGAAACATGGCTAATAAGATTTATTTCCGTATCCTGATAAATTACTTTATAAATATCCGAAGTGGGATGAGACGACCCTCAATACCATCATTGCATAGAGGTAAGAAATTAGCTAGGATTGAACTCGCTGTTTTATTGTACAAATAACCCGAAACCACCATTTGGTTGATCTTTACACATTAGTTGAAAATCTGAACCCACGTTAGTTCCTCTGTGAGGCTTAGAAACACGAAATTGACGCTTCTCCCCGTGTGTGGATAATCAAGTTCCTCCGCAATATCAGGATGTGAGCAATCATAGCGTCAGGAGCCGATTGTTATTCACCACTAAGCACAATTCCTAGTCTCCATTTACTGATAACCTTTATAACCACAAAGTGCTCTTCGATTATGGTTTTATCATATGGAGTGCGCACAAGTAAGTAGAGCTCCACGTAGCACTGCAAGGCGACTTGTACAATGCTTACGTGCGACCAACGTAGAGCGGCACCTTAGGCCTGCAGGCAATGTGACACTGTCGAGGAGTTCAGATTGATAGCCACCAAATACGAGCACTGATTCTACATCCCCTTTGGCGGCGAAGTTCGCTTCCATATTTGCAAGTAAGCAGGTGTTTGTACCGAGTACAACGGATACCAATCCTGCTTAACTAGACAGCTTGGATTGCAACAAGAAGGTGTACCCATAGTGCTGGCCAGTTTTGAAGGGACCAAGCCAGCCGGATCTGGCGTAATCCACTCAAGTTCACCCACTCCAAGTCATCATCGACCAGCAGCTCGCTTTCCGTGACTTAGCTGTTCAACAGGTAATATCCGCTGGTTTATTATCGAGCGACTGGAAATACTTAATCGTAAAGCCAATACCGAAAGATATTGACAAAAACAAATTCTACAACTACAACACGAGCTGTCTGGCCACTGTTTTGGCAAATATGCCGGATAAGATCATGAAGAACTGTGTTCCGCAGCTTCTCGAATCTAAAAGCCTCTTTGAGACCGCATAGCATATTTTGATGAACGTTCACTCCGGCAGCACCAACCTCCTGTTGACGAGGCACGAATGGACGTCTGAGAAGTCATTCCTTGAACTCATAAGGCGCAAGACAAGGTAAACCATGAGGTCCTCCTCCACAGACTGACGTTGTGCAGTGCCGGCGGCTCACTGCACCAATGAATCAGGAGTATCCTTGTTGGCCGAAACTGGACATTCCAGGTAGACAACCATCTAACCATGTGGTAGCCCTCGACCAGTGGCATGCCCCAAGGTACTGTACGGGAGCTCAATTTGTTCCTTATCCAGGGTCTCTGTTCGCCTTTTTTGTTTTTGCAGATGACTTGGATGTGTGCAATAATCAGCGCACTAGGTGAATGTGATCTGCGTCAGTGTGACTTGGACCGCTTCCCCTTGCAGAGGTCAAACTTCTGATCAACCCGGTTAAGTCTCTAATAATGAGGCGGTATAAGGTTGGACACGGTTGAAGATGCGCTGTGGCTCGTCAACCATTGCATCAGGCACATTTTTTGAAAGACATCGGTGTGATCCAACGCTACGACCTAAAGTCCATGGATGATATGAATAGGCTTTACCAAAACGAGCTCCGTATGGTTGTGCGTTCAAACGCAGCTTTTGTATTTGGTAGTGGGAGATGGTCAGTCGATTCCTGGTCTTATTCATAAATCCAGTGAAGTGAAAGAGGGGATCAGCAGTACGTCCTCAAGCACTGCCGACGCTTCGATGCCGTGCAACCACTGCCAGTCCCATGTCGGCTAAGGATAATGCGCGTGTTGCCCTGTCCCTAGGCAGGCTCGAACCCAGGCTTTTGGAATGCAAACACGCTGGCGATACTTAAGGATATGGGCCGGTAGATTTGACCAATGCTAGAGTACGACTCCTCCGCATACAGTCCTATCACATGGGGTGAAATACAAAAGAAAGAGCAGGTATAGCATGTGGCCACTAGACTCATACCCACTTTACGCGATGTGCCATCAGAAGACCGGTGCAGGCTATTAAGAGTTTACACCCCGCCTTACTGTCGAGTGCAAGTTGACCTCATCATGTCGTAGTGGATATTACAATTTGGTAATTACCCGATGTAGTGTTTACTGCTCTATGTGCTATATGCTCAGGCACAGACTGAACACGAGGACGCCGGAACAAGCCTGTAGTAGCGAATCTAAAGTGTGTCGCCTAACAATTCTGCTTCGAACGGACAGAGATGGATATATGCAAAATCCGACCGCCGCAAGTAGTCTAGGCAGAGTCAGTGTCAGAATTCAAAATTTCTTGGACAAACACTTTGCCGAAATGAAATATCGGGAATGCCCTCCAAAGAAAGATGGCATTGAATTTGAGGGAATTTTAGATACCGCGACCCGGAGATATCTTTTCTTAATGCTTCCATTCAGTATTCAGTATTCAACACAGAAGATACTTCATTTAAGTGGGCATGACGCTGAGGGTCAAAAATTTACCGTTCATGAATCATGGGTATTGGGCCAAGGAGAACTGCATACACAAAAATACTGAAGGTAGAATAAAAAGTAAAACATAAAGCCAATAAACGCACTGGCAGATCGTAAACCATTCTTGGAAACCTGTTCATATGCTGCACGTTAATATGAATCCCTACATTGAGCTCGCCCCCAAACCAAATGCAAATGATGGAACAGTGATTTTGCTTTCCTAAAACAGCATTATAAAAGTTCATTAAAACCGGTCGTAATTGCGTCACAAAGCTGAAGATACGTGGTTGAAAACTTTAACTCTTAGGTGGGTATTCGCGGCAATGTAACTGACCCTATAGTAGCATAGCTTATTCGAAATATGCCTATTAATTAGAGCAATACCTGCCAAAAATATGCCGTAACGTAAGTTTGAGCAATCAGTTTTCCATAGGCAATGTCGCATGAGATCTTTTGTTAAGGCCGAATTACTCTACACTAATCATCTGAACTAAGTAGGTACGCACAGCAGTATTTTTTCTTCCACAGCTTTGTCTGCGCGTAGGAAGCTGCTCAGTATGTCAATCATCCATGACCCTCATACTGCGACCAAGTATCATGTGAAACGTTCCTATGTGGGAAACTCTTCCCCATATCGCTGTCACTGGATGCACCAAAAATCGCAAGGTATAAAAATATTACGGTGTTTATGTTAACCTCCAAAGTCTCTTCTTTATGAAATTGAGTAAGTAAAACAGGCGTGTAGCACTTTGTCGAGAATAAACGTTTATTTATTTGTTTAAATACGCTTCCTTGTAAAAGTCCGTGGTGATGACACTCCAGCCATATCGTTTTTGCTTCAGTGTACCCATATAGTCAGGGTACTTGGGATTTGGCCTGATGTGATTTCTACACGCTGGCACAATGACTTATTATTTCCGCGTTGAACCTAGCTCTAAGGCCACGCTAAGTCTGTTCAGATTCCGACTACTCTGGTTACGAGGCGACCCGATAATGACACAATCAATTTCCAAAACAGCTAGAAGGAACCAGATTTCAACAGAATAAACTGAATTCAACAATTTCCAGTATTCTTACCTGCCTTTACGTACAAGTTGTGCAATGACAATGTTACATACAAAGACATCTAACGTGCAGTTGTTTGGCGAACGTGAAAAGCAGTCAAAGGTCACCATATATCATCATCATACATTATAGCTAGAGGTGTGGAACACCTCAGCTACTGTGCCGCAATACATAGAAAAAGGAGAAAAAAAGAATTCAGCTGGGGCAAGCCGGCTAGAGCTACCGGTAACGGATGGGCGCTGATACAACCTCCCAGGTAGTTGAATTTCTGAACGACTTCTAGCTGATCCCCACCAAGGGTCAGCGTAGTGGGCGGTCCAGACCAATCTTGGAGGGACGCTTTGCACTTCGAGGGTGCGAAGCAAAGCCCGAAGTGACGGACAGCTAGTGCTAATCGGTCCAGTGCCGCTTGGCACATTTGTGAGCTGTCACAGATTAGGGCAATATCATCAGCATACTCTAAGTCAAGAAGTCGTTCTCCTGGAAGTAGCTCCACACCTTCTAAGTCGTGTCCTGTGAACTCGATTTCCGTGACTTCGTCAACAGCGAAGTTGAAGAGGAAAGGTGACAGCAGGCAACCTTGTCTCTCGCCGCTGGAGATATTAAAGGGCGATGACAACTTGCCGTAAGCCCTCACTCTGCCCGAGCTACGAGCATATAATGATCGGATAATATTCACATATTTCTCGGGCACACCTCTCCTGAGTAGACAGTCCCAAAGTGAGTCAAAGGTCACCAGGCTCACACAAATTCCGGTTGGAGAGCAACGAACACCGACGTCATCAGGGTAAGGCAAGGGTGGCCACATAGCCTGTCTGTTTGTATAGACTTGCTTTCAGCCGCCGAATGGCCGAAGTCTCGACAAACTGAAGCAGATTTCTCTCTTTATTTGTTACTTACCCTGGGAGATTTGAGTGGGTTTTGTGATGCAGAGCAATCGAGTATGTGGCGAGCAATCAGCAAAAGTTGGGGGAACTGAAAGAAGGCTGTCTGCAAGGATCACAAGGCACATTTCTCCTAACTTGGTTGCGAAGGGTCTCAAGCTACCTACCAGCTCGATTGCTCAACATATGATCAATTGCTCTGTGTGCCAAAAGCAAATCAAATTGTTCAGGGTAACGAATAAAATCAGAGCCCCATATGCTTCAGTTTGTCGAGGCTTCGGCGATTCGGCGGCTGAAAGCAAGTCAATGCTAACAGACAGATTTTGTGGCTACCGTCGCCCTACCCTGGTGAGGTCAGTTTTCGTTACTCCCCAGCCGGAATGTGCGTGAGCTTAGTGACATTTGACCGCTTTTCACTTTCGCAAATCAACTACACATTAGATGTGTTTATATGCAGCTTAGTCATTTCAAAACTTGCATGTAAACAACAGATTAGAATACTCAAAATTGTTAAATTTAATTTATTCTGTTGAAATGTGGTTCCTTCTTGCTCCTTTGTAATTTATGAAAGGAAATTGTGGTATGAAATTTCTAAAGGAATAATCAATCTTACGCAATCCAGGTCATGCTTGCCGCCTTATAGTGCAACGGCGAAATAACATAAACTTAAGAGATCACCCCTTGAAATTAGTAGAACTGTACAGTCGTTTAGCAGGTCGGGAAATTTTTATTCTAATCGCATGTGGCACCCGTGGAATGCTCTCTCCGAATCGATCTTTTCGGTACATTCAGTAGCCGTGTTAAATAGTCGGTTGGACGACGCATTCAGCCACTTATATTTTGTCACTTAGCACCACCTCTCTGTCCAACTTCCGGCAAAACCTTTTGATTTATTAGTTTTCACCTATTTATTTTGCAAAACTATGCAGATTGCAGGGCTACTGAATTTAAAACATAAACCCACTATTTTTAGATAACCCTCCAAGCAACCCGAAGTGGTTTAGCAAGCGGTGCTTCTTAACGCGTATAAATTCACTGTCATTTTCTTCCTAGTTTATGCAACTTGGGCGTTGCTGCGTCAGATTTCACCATGGGTCCGTGCAATGTGGGTATTCTGCACATTCATTCTAGCTCTAATGGAGGATTACTTGTAAAGCTATAAAATTCGTTGCATGACTAGAACCGTTTTATTTGGAGAGAACAGCTTCTTAACAGAGTAATAGTCGACAGAAAAATTACAGCATTGTGACTTAGCTGGTTTTTCATGAACCGCCTATTTCATTACCATCTAATGCACAGAAAACACTGCTACTGGAACACATCCAGCCAGCAAAATGCAATGCAATATAAAGGTTTAAATGTTGCATCCGTGCTTGAGTGATAAAATACGCGCGCTTTCTTCCGCCAAATCCAATCAACAATGGCACGCTGCAATGTCGGTGACCGACTGGTTTAGCAAATTTGTGATTGTTTGATTGATGGAATCAACTTTCTCAATTGCAGCAAAAGTTAGTTTGCAGCCTAAAACTGCGATCTAATCTTATAGCCTAGCAAGTGGAGAACCTCCGCAGCTATGAAACTCCAGCGACAGGGTGAAACATATGTAAGATACTAGGAAAATGGATGGATTTAACTTCATGTAAGTACAGCATTAACTGGCGTGATCTTTCGGATAGAAGACGTCGGAACAACTGTAAATCATGTAGCAATAAACATTCTTGGACTACCTTGAAGTACCATAAAGTCTAAACTTACACATGTGACAAAATAGGACATATTTCCACTGTTTGGGGCTCTTGGAACCTAAGATGCGTAGAACTCAGTACTTCGGTGACAAGTTATTATTGTGCAAATCAGCTCAGCGAAAAGTACCGCATGTTTGGTAGTCCCAAATACTTGATATATATGGTCCTCCCACAACAATAAACAACGACCCTCATCAGCCGATTATCTTTCATCATCATCTTCATCATCATCATCGTCATCATCTTCATCTTTTGTTTCAGTTAAACAAATGTTGAGTAACTGCAGGCTAATTGGCTAATAGATGTCCAGCGATTGAATCCGCTATATCTATCTAATTGGTTTTCTAGCCCGCTCCATTGATGCCTACTTTTAATCTGAGAGGTCGCTGTTATCACAGATACCATGGATGAGCAATTGCTGTCATCCGAATTTTATTCACTTTCACTTCATACTGTTTTTTAATAAAGCTTCTCAAAGGACACAAAGATTTGTTATTAACAGTAAAATTCCGTATTCACTTGTTGGAAACACAAATTATGTGAAATCTTTCATCACGGACTCACATTTTGAAAGCCTAACAGCAAAGGTTCTATGCTAAGCAACTACTCTCTCCGCCAGAGAGGTAGATGCACAAGCATTTTATATTCTTGGCTCATGTGTATTACAACGACGGATATCACTTTCAATCCAGTCAAATCTGCTCTTTTCGTTAGGATTCTGGCCATTCCGTCATAGACCTAAAATATAGGAAAACTGACCATATTGTAATTACTATTTGCTGATTAACTTCATTCATGGCTTCGCCCACTTATTGTGCCATGACACAGGTGGCTTGCGGACGAACCCCACCAAGTTTGGCGTCCAGTGAACTCCTATGCTCATTCAAAGACGAACAAATATTCCCGGACTTCGGGAGTCCGTAAGGCCATCCCTTGATGATATGGTTGATGAATGTCTTATTACTCCGATCCAGGCTCCAGTTCGGATTACTTTAATTGTTACTGCAAACAAACGTGACAGTAAAGCGTGTAGGATTTGTGGCGACTATTACGTTAGAACAGCGTTGCGCTACTGGAAATTTCGGGCGGGTATAAACGTTATGACATGCATGTTTTAAAGGATGCTTGCTTACTAAACCACTTGACGAAGGAACTATTGTTATTACCAATATAAACACGCTATTTGTTCTGCTTAGTCACAAATCTTCCCGTTTGGTTTCACTCTATAACCGTAAATTTATCAATTGAATAGTAGTGTCCGTGGCGTTCGCGCTCGTTGGATGCAATTGGATATTAATTGAAACCAGCTTGACAGATCAATAGATGAATATGATTTCCCCAGAGAGGGTTTTGAAAGCGCTATGGATGCAATGGCCTAAGAGGCACATAGTAAGTTAACTAAACATCACACGTTTAGAGTAACACAGCGCAGCCATTTTACCCTTTTTGAAAGCGTCAGCATTGCTTATTTTATAAATTTTTTATTGGTGGATGTTTGTGCGTGAATTTTAATCGTGGCTTCTACTTTCTTCGAACTTACTACTCACAAACATCCACCATTAATCTACTATCGCCCATTGGACGTCTGAAGGACAGGAACTTCGGTCTATTGGGAAGTGACGGGTGAGTGAGCCAATCTGCAACATCAGGACAGGTACTGTGAGCTTATTGGCAACACGTCGCGCACCAAGCAGAAGACATGTGTTAAAATTTGCGCACCTAATCGCCAGCCCTCGGTAGCTCAGGTGGTAGAGCAACGGACCGGAAATTCGTGGACCGGGGTTCGTCTCCCCGTCGAGGCATGTTATTGTGCGTGAATTTTAATCGTGGCTTCTACTTTCTTCGAAATTTTTTATTGCCAGAAAGCTCTATATATCTCCGTGCTTACTCATTAGCACAAACTACGTGTAATGCTATGAGTTCGTTGCTTAGGTTCGGGAGACACTTGCTGTGGTTGGTTTGCCTGTTCTCTGGGCTGTACTGCATTCATATGCGGTGTGCACCTTAAGGCCAAGTGTTAGTTGTACAAGCTGCATTAAACTTATTCCCTACCTCTCCGTTTACACAGAGGTCTTAATCATACTCGTAACAACAGGGTCGCATGTGCTAGCCCAGGCTAAACAGACTGACTAGGCACTACTGGAAATGCCATTGAAAACTCTTATAATAAGGAAAGGCTGACAGTCTGATAAATTTGCCGTTAGGTAGTACGTTAATAATAAAGAGTTAATTCGGTAGCTTTCGTAGCACCTGATTTTGGACGTTATACTAAGTTCAAACTCGCACATGGTTCAAAACTAATTGTTGTGTGTTTCTTTATTTGTTAAAGCCGACCAACTTTTCTTGAAGTTCTTAAATCATTTAAGTGCAACTTGTCCATCAGCTCTTATTCCCGCGCAATAAAACCAGATATGTACGCATTGCTACTGCTACCTATTTTTCACATATAGCCTAGAGACAACGTACATGCGGTAGCGGAATCTACAAGGTACCTGCCTTTGTTTTTTCTTCATAGCCACTTGCATCGATTCTTCTAACCAACTTTCAACGTGTTTGTTCACTGAGTGGATATCCGTCATGAAATATTGCTCTACTGGACACTGTTCAGTGGGCAACCTTCTCTGCAAAGGCGTACGATCGTCCATGGAACACCGCAGCATCAATCGGCCGGAAGCCATACCCGGTTCGCATTGTTGAGCGGAGCTGTTACGTCGAGGTTTCACCCTGCGATACTGTACGATACTTTTGTCATCTGAAAATTAAAACACCAATAATAACATTGACCGATTACTCGAGTGCATTTGATCGTAAACAGAACTTACCGGAGTCCCCGTTTACAACTTATTTTATAACAGATTTTTAGCGGCCTCTGGTCAGTTTGCGGGCAGTATACGTGTATATGGTCTGCTCTTCTAATACAAGTGTCCGCAGTATGCCTAGTAGAACTACTCATGAAACACGAGACGTAAAATTGCGTTGAAAATTATCCTAGTAATTCCAAGTAATTTGAACGCTTTGCACAAAAGGTCACTTTTGGAGTCTCAGAAATGTGCAGTTCACCGTAACCGTAATGCTTCTTATGTGCCCAGAGCGTTAGATGCGTTCGACAACTAGGCTTCGCTGTTTGGGAATCGCCAACTAAAGTATTACAAATGACAGATTGCTAAGTGTACTTAGGTTCTAATATTTTCCACACTTGGCGCGAAGATACACATGTCGAGCCCTAAAACACAGTTTAGCCCAAATGGACGGGTAGGCTGTTCATGCATTTACACAAGCATCATCAGCTTCACCGAAGCAGCTTCGGAACTAGGTACCTATCACGTTGCTGTGGTTTGAAACAATAATCTGATTTGGTTTCGTTGTGACTTCCTACGATGGTTCCTCCAAGAATTCGTGCAACATACAAGCACGCTGTGACATTTACAACTAGTGCGCCTTTAAGATTACCACATATATTTTATGAGCTATTTATCCACCTATTATAATAACTCGTATTTTCTGTTTGGCAACCATCAGCTGCAATTTGTCTTCTGCCTTTACAACACTCTAGCTGCCCAAAATTTTTGATTGTTTCTTAACAGTACCTCTTCCAGTTTCCGGTATCTGGATCGCAATTTCAGCGCCTGTCCCCTTGTCACACCGTTCCTATATGTTGTTTGCTTCCAGTATACGTTATCATTGTATGACTTCCAAAGCGTACTTCTACGTAATACAACCTCATTCCACTGTTTGTCATTCCAACGTAAAGCAACTTTAATCACTTGGACGCCATTACAGATCATTTGCCAGAAACTGTTCACTCGTTATCTCCCTTCTATTCGCTCAGCTGACGGAAAAATGTGGCTATATATCATGGTACATTGGCTTTCAGCTTGAGAAAACATCCATGTGCTCCACCTTGCCGTAGTCAGGTTACATAGGTGCATAATAAATCAAGTACACCACTGTTGATTACTTTGTGGATGTGATGTTTATGGCTTGCCAATATTTAGGATGTTGGAGTTTTGCGATGTAGCGATCTACCCTGTTCACTCACTCGATATTCAATAAAAGATAAACAGTGGGGCAAGGATTCAGCACAGCTAATGTAACAGACGTAACGCGCGTCACGTTGTGTGATTGGTCTGCGCATCGTGATCGATGCGTACATAAGTGAGCTAGCTTTTGCAGGCACATATTCATGTGTTCTCGTGGAGCAGGTGACAGTCCACCTATGTCCGCATAGCTTTGCATAGAAATTCATGCTATGGACAACTAAATTATATACCGATTGTCTACAAGTACACTTCAGCCAAACGTTTAAAAACGCTTTTGATCCAACTAACTGTGTGAGCAAATCAAAAAGAATCACATCAACAAGTAGGCTTTGGAGAGCTCTTCATGAGAAACCGAATTGAAGTGGAAGGCAATTCTGATAGCATTCGAGTTGGATGTAAGAAGTTTGCGTGGAATATTGAGCTCTTAAGTTAACGTCTTGACTGAAATTATGTCGGTAGCGTTTCGTAAGATCATAATGATTCATTGTTCTGTAAGCCGTCATAATATCACCATGCTGCTGTGCTCGATACCCACTAAACTTTAGGAACGAAATCGATCTTAGTTGGCCTAAGATATTGTGATCCTTCAACATCTCACTTGCGTTCATTTAATTTTTCTTTTAAGTTGTTTAGTAGCACGCCGGCTATAATTTCCAGTTTTGAATAAAGCATTCTAGTTGCGGAGGCCTTCGAGGCGGAAAACTCGTCAGAGGATTTGGGCGTGCGAACACCAGCGTGATACATAAGCGAGGTCATGACGTTTGCCATCAGCGGCGTTAAAGTAAATAAATAAATAAATAAAATTAAGTAAGTGAAAGGCCGTCTCCTACTTTTTCATGAGTATGGCATTATGAACACCAGTTTACGCCATGAGCAAAAGCTCGGGAGCGATTTTTGTAACCTAAGGTACTTTGTAATCATGGTCGGTGAATAACGCCTCCCTCCGGACCTAACTTTGAAGGCTTAAGTGCCTTAGCCTTTTGCCAAGTGTGGCCGACCTCATTATAAATAGAAGCTATATCAAATAATGTTATTATATGCATCATAAAAGGCATAGTGCTGGCGCATAATCCGGGTTTGCGTTATAAACCACTTAACTCTAGGTGGAGAAACTTTTTGGGATATTCTTCGTTGTGTATTATTCAAAAGGAAGATAACTTGTCTACCTGACTATAGGAAAATGTGAAAGGGAAAGGGACATTTGCGCTTGGAAGCCACGGCTCGCATACCTTCTTCTAGTTGTAAGATTCTGATGTGGCCGTGCAGGACAACTTATGCCTTCACACTACCTGAGATAATTTTTGGAAAGAGTAACTGACAGTTTGGTCCCTTTAGAAGTCATTTGGCAGTTTCGATGCATCGATACTCTCTAAGTGCTCCTGTACCATGAGTCTGTTCACCTAGCATAAAGACCCTATTTGAAACGCAAACTAGCCACACTTCAGGCCTCACAAAATTTCAGGCAATAAGGAATGTCTAGAGCTTGCCCCACCTGTCATGGAAGCGGAGTCTGATGGCACTCCGATCATTCATTGGGCCACAGTGAATTCTGCGTAGTTACCAAATAATAGTGGAATGGTACTTGAATGTCCTTAATTGTGTAAATGCCAACTAGTTACCTTCGATCGCAACGAAATCTGAGGCATAACTAAGTAGTCATGCTTAAACATTGCATGAGTGTTGCATACCATGAAAAAGCCTTTTCCGTTTCTGCCTGCCAACCGTCAAATACTGACCCCAAATTTGATTTGCTTTATGGCCATGTGGATAACCATAAAAAGACGGTTGGGTATTGCACTTCACTGCACTTGGGTACACAAACTGCCGTGATTGGAACTAGCTCTTTGTAATTTGTGGACAGTCTCCTTGGATTACATCAGCCTCACTTATTCACGAAAAATAGGACACTTACGTTGACACTGGTGGGTTAGGTATGCGCGTCATGCATTCCTGTCCCATTTTACAATGTACAGGTTATTTGTTTTCTATAACTACCATAGAACTGTCTCAGTTTGCTGAACCATATTGAACAGTACCTTCGTATCTCTCGGTCAATACTTAATTGTTGCATTTAACGTTCCCCCATTTTTTTCATCTGGGCTGTAAAGAAGTGGTATTGCATCACTGGAAACCTCCAGCTGCGCAGTATAACTTACTCTATCAACGGCGGAGTTTAATCGCTTTTCTGATGCTTTTCCCAATTCCACTCCATAGCCACAAATTGGCGGTGTACGTAGCGTCACCAAACGTTTCTTGAGCTAGTAATGTTTGTCAGTAAAGTATCCTTTATATAGTCCTGCGTAAGCATATTCATCATTTCAAAATAAAGCTGACCTCGCGGCAACATCTTATTTTAAACTGCGCAGCTTCGAATTACCAAAGAATCAGGACAGATACCACACCCACGATAATTTGTACAGTGGGTAACTCCGTCATCTCATCCAGAGTGCTGTGCAGTCTTGCAGTCCTCAATGTCCCATTTTTGTACATCCGATAAAGTAGGGAGGAAGTTCCATCCAACTGTCATAATTAGATGGACCGTTAGTCTTGATATTTTCCTTGCAACATATGGCAACCACATTAATGAGTGGAATATCCAGTGCGAGAACGGAAAAAGCAGAGAGCATATATGCAGAAATTTTAACATGTATATAAGTAGAAAAATGTATATAAGGGGGTAGTAATTCTGACTTACCTTGCTTAAAATGGTTAATGGAATTGTTCTTCCAATTGCCCAAAAATTGGACATAAAGATGAGTTGCCATGCAAAATAAGGTAAACCGCAGATTGTCCTTTCAGAGTACGTGTTGAATGAAAGAAGTACGAGGAGCTGATTAACATACCCAAAACTTTTTCCCAAGTAGCTACAGTGGGGGCTAAGTAACTTAGCTTAATAGGGGACTATTTAGAGTTGGGATACCTAAAGGGAAAAATGATTCTTAACAATATAGTGGACTATATCGTTGACTTATTGGCAACTATTGCCTCAGGTCATTGCTCGGCCTGAGCTCCCAGACTTACGGCATACATGAATCTGATCGCTCAGTATTTAATCGTTCTTTATGAGATATCCGTCGGACGGTTGGTAGCATTTTGTAAATAGTCTGAAATTATTTAGCCATTGTTGGTAGGAAAGATAGCGCAACTCCTAGACTCCACTCATCCTAATTGTGGGGGCGCAAGCTTAGTGTGGTTAAGCTCAACCTGTGACGCCAGACTTGAATGGTGTATTGGAAGTGGCGGCGCATGTAGACAGGAATAATAGGGTAGAATATGGAAGATTTGACAAACCCGAGTGATATACGCAAGCGACTACCATGCTGATTACCTATTTTGGAAGCAGGCTCGGTCAGTCTAAAGACTGCATACTGAATACTGAGAGGGCAGAGCGAGAAGATACAAATCTGTGCTGCTCCATCGTAGTTGGATCGGGCACAAGTGCAGAATCACGTCCCTGATTCCTGCGTGGTGGTAGCATAGTGCAGCTGCACTACATCTTATCCGGGTACGATACGCTCCCTATACCTGTAGTCCGCAAAGTGGGCGTCATCATCATCATCATCATCAACAGCAGTACTTTAGCCATTTGACCTGATGCTTCGCTGCCATACAACCATGAGGACCTATGAAATAAAGAATAGGGAGATGGAGAGAAGGAGGACTTAGCTGAAAATCTTAATGCCCTATGCAAACATTCAGAGTCAAGGCGCTT